TATATTTCACTGAGAAAAATTAATTCCCATCCAGAAAAACAGACAATACATTTGTTAAAGGAACTTGTGATAATTCTAGATGACCTCTTTGTAAAGCCATTTTAGTAAAAAAAAATAAGGCAAATCTGTCCTCATTATTCCTTACTTGCTCGAAAAAATTTTAATTGCTGAATAACTTGCTTATTTAGCTGCATTCATCAAAAATCTCTAAACTTGAACTAATAAAAGTCTAAAAATATGTAATACCTTAAAGTCCTTAACTTGTTTAATTATGATTAGCTCTTGCTAGATAGGAAACAATAAAAATGGAAAACAGTATTCTGGTGTGAATTATATAACATTTAAACCTAGTAAAGCAAGCCTTAAATTGTTTGATTTAATGATTTCTCAGTGGGCACTACTTCCATCCTGTATTGTGAAATGTAAATGTATTAATCATATTAATGTGTTCTTTCTAAACTTTTGACCATATCATTAACTTCTTGCTGAACTGATGAGTCTTCAGTAAGCAAAACTGCAGTCCACAGCAAAGGATATGGTGAATAACAGAATGCTTTAGTTCTTTACATCGCAGATTGTATTTTAATTTTTACCTTTGGGGAAATGAAAAAAATATGAATATAATCATTAAACAATTGATACACTTTATAATGCTGTTACGACAGTGGGGGTCACGTGATGAGTATTCTAGAAGATTCGCTAGTGTGTTACGACAGCGGGGTCACGTGACGAATATTCTATAAGATACGCTAGTGTGTTGCGACAGTGAGAGTCAATTGACGCTGGTAGCACGTGTTGAGAGTCTTAGAAGTTTCTAGAACAGGCAGTATTATCGTATATAAGTGCGCTAGACAGTGAGAGAGACAGACGGAGTCGAAGCAGTAGTGGAGACAGAGATGGAGGCAGAGACGTAGCGGAGACGAAGCAGGCAGAGAGAAAGAAAGACAGCGATTACGGTCGGCGGGAACTGAGGATAGCAGACACAGAGATCGGAACTATAGTTGGCGGGGACGGACAATTAAGTCTAAGCGCGATAGAAAGCGAGTGAATTGTTGTGAACTATAGTGTGTGTAACTGTGAAAATTAAGTGCATTACAAAGTTGTATTGAGGAAGAATAAACAAGTTTTGTAAAGAAAGGACTTGTATCTTAGAAGAATTAACAAACAAACATACAGAGACGTAACAATACTAATAAATTGGACACAGTGCCATAATGTTATTCACACCAAAATTAATTTAGGTTACTATATTGTGAGTTAAAAAGGACTTTAAAAAACCCATAATATTACATACACATCACCATTCTAAGAGGCTTAACTATATTTCTTTTGATTGCTGACCCAAGCTGTCCTGGTGAGCCTTGAATAAATGAAACTGCAATCCACAGGAAAGGGTGCTGCAAATCTGGGAATACAATTAGGCTTCCACATCACAAGTTATATTTTCACTTTTATCTTTGATGAATTTTAAAGTAATATGTTATAAAATAACACTAAATGTTTTAAGCATAGATAAGGGAAGAAAAAAATGATTGAAGTTTTTAAAAGGTAATGCATTTCAAGTTGCAAGAAATGAATAAAAATGTTTTGTGATAAGTTTATATATATTTTTAGCCCAACAGATTGTAACAAACTTAAACCCTACTATTTACATATGGAATGACAAAGCATTAATTGTTATTTCATTTGTGATAAACTTAATCTCTTATTCAGTTTATAAAGTAGAATAAATAAACTGAAAGATTTTCAGCTGTATAGATTTTCAAAAAACTAAAAAAAAATGTATATGACCAAAATTTCTGAGACAATGAGCTGTGAAGTTATAATTTTTATCCAGTTAGGACTAAATTATTTGTATATATTTATTTGTACATGTAAAATGAAATTAAAGACTGAACAAAGCATTATATTTTTAGTAAAAATTATTATCAATTATTCACTGTACAACTACCTTAATGACCTCAATGGATCAATTTCAATATTATTTAAATGTGTAGTCAGTTATACCCTTTATCTCTATTTTCAAGTAATGATTTAATGTTTTTTGTTTGTTTTTTTTACTTTTACCATCTGATAGGCCTTAGGACTTCAACGTGATGACACTTTCTCAACAACCATGTTAAAAAATGTGATTGAGCATTTAATGAACGAAATGGTTCCTTGTGAAGGTAAAGATATTTAATAAAAGTTGCTGATGCTCTAAATATTTTAAGTATGGATAAGAGATAAAAGTAATTATTGAAGTTTTTGAATTTCAAGTTGCAAAAAATGAATAAAGAAGTTTTGTGTTTAAAAATTATTGTTTTTAAAATATTAGTCTTCTAATAATGAATTTGTTTTATAATTTAAAATACTTCCTAACTGCAAACAATATTTTATAAAGCAACTATTTCTCTACAGACTGCAGTTAAATGTTGATTATTTTTGTTTAAATTTTCTAAACAAACATTTTAGGGAACATAGTCTTTGGACTTTACAAGATATCAAAATACACATAGTAATTAGAGTTGGGTGATTAGTGATATTTTCTAGTCTATTAATTAACAAGCTCATTAATCAATTGGTACACCATACTTCCTATAACCTGTACAAACACAAGAGAAAAAGAACAAGGGTGTTTTAGCTTCATAGCTTTTTCAGCCACTGTGTTATTCTAACATTGTATTAATCTTCCTATTTTCTTTCACATTGTTATGATTTTTCACAAAATTTGCAAATGACAACCTTTGGTAATTGATCTCATATGATGAACCACTTCTGAAGGTTACCATTTGAACATTTTGTGAAAAAAAACATATTTTGCCACAAGTTTTATGGGCATTTCCCCATTGATGAATGAATCACTAATGTCAACTTAGTACCACCATGTGGTTGCCATTACGTTTTTCAGATATGCAGTAATCTCAATCTTATCTCAATTTATCTGTAGTCTTCTCACTGAAGAAAATTTCTGTAAGTTTCAGTCAGATAGAAATTAATGCACAAATATTTTTAACAATTCACAACAAAAGTTTACAGAAATTATCAAAAAACCTCTTAAACCTATATATGTACTCTATTAATATGTGATAGTTAATTTTTCCTCTATCCAATCATATTTAAACTTTCTTTATACCTGTTTTTAAACCTGTGTTTCAATACTAAATGATGAAATCATTTGATGTGGCACTATGACAAGGCTTCAACCAAGACCTATACAAAAACTAATGGAATTGCTTGAAAACTCAAGATACTGATAGTATATTCTCAAAAGGTGATAGGTTCTTAGACAAAATAAAGCAAAATAAGTGAGATAGGCAGAAAAATTATAAAAGAAATTGACAAATAGGTTGTTTTGTCTAGAAGTAAAATTCTTTTTAACTGTGCAGAAATGAACATGTGAAAATATTTCTTCATGGATTACACTAAACAAGTGTTAGAAAATGATAAAATATAAATTATAAAATATTTTTGAAGAGAAATTGATCTAATAGTTAGAATTAACATATAAAATTGTTTTAAATTAGTACCAAGAAAATATGAAAGCTAGAATAAATCCCGTTTTCAGGTACACTAACTTAAGAATAAGTTACTTTTTCATCCTGAACTGTTGTATATGAAAATGTATCAAATGCAACAATCTGAAAGTGTTATAAATAGCATTCCTTGAGTTTATCCCTACAAATTTCCACAAGGCTATTGAATTTTTGTTGAGGAAAATAAATATTTTCAAATAACAAATTTTTATAAAAATTTTAATGAACTTTGTTACCCTAAAAACATTACCAATGAAATATTTAAAAAAAAACACATGGTTAGTTTCAGCTGTAGGTATACGACATGTACAAGCTACTAGGATACTTCTTTCACTGTTAGAAATAAAATTATTTTTCAAAGTATGTTCAAAAATGAATGATATTTGACAAACAATATTAATACTTGTAAAAAATATATAATAGAGAAATGTCAAAGCCTGCTATAACCACACAAAACTACATAACGAGCTATATGCTTAATGATGTAAGTTCATAAACTTACTGCTGACACACTGGTGGATGTAACTTTAGTACTACAATTAATTAGGAAGACAAAAGTCATTGTAAATAGCTCAGTCAGGTTATTGTCCAAGGATTTCAAAGCTCATATCTTTATTTATAGTAATGTGATTGATGTAAAAAAAAAGTTTTTTGACAAATATTTCAAATTTTCTAATTAAAATTATATAGTGGGAATTATATATTTTTTAAATATGTATAAAGTGTACACAGAAATTCATATTTTAGCATTAGTAAACGAGTTGCATTTTCCAATTTTTTCAAATCCTAACTTTTTGTATATTTTGGACATCAACAGTACAAAAACATCTTTTTCACAAGTACTCTAACTTCCTTTCCAAATGAAGAAAAATCAGTTATGTAATACTTGTTATGGTGTGAACACCTTTTTCAAACTGGCAAAGCATGACTATACTATTATTCTGCTTGTTTGTATGTAAAACCGTTACGCTTTCTGACCGAGAACCTGCTGCATAAGCATGCGTAGTTAGAATGTTTCCCCAAGAAAAACCGTGCATGCGCATTTTTCATTCAACGACAAACAGTCTACCTGTGGCAGGGAGCTGCAAAGCTCAGTAATCAAGTTGCTACAATTGCTGTATGAAACAAGAAGTAACAACAAAAGGAGAATGTAAATATACTTTACTAACCATTTTGTACAACAGAATATTAAAAACTCTTCAACTTTTAAAAAAGGTTTGACGTTAGGTCATAGAATAACATTATAAGTTTATTTATCGATAGTATTAAGTACAGTAAAGTTTAGTCCTAACTAAACTAAAGTAAAAAAAACGTACACAGGTTACAGTGTTAATTTATCTCTTTATCGAACTTAAAATTTTATAAAGTACGGCTGATGTAGAAGTGGATTTACACATTTCGTTCTCTACAATTACAATTCGTTTGTATTGTGCTAGAAATTTTGTATTTAAAGAAGTACTTTTCCGATAAAGATACTAATTTGGCCGGAAATGTTTTGCGGATCTCTGCTAGTGATTAATTATACTTGCTATAAGGTATTGGTATTAGGCCTTTTGTATTTTTAACACAGCATTTTTTACCTAGTCCCTTTGGATTTTTTATGAATTAGAATAGTATACAATAATATTATTTCATCAGCTCTTCAGGCTGGCTGATGCACAACGAACCCAGTCATAACATAACATTAAAAGACAGCAAGGGACCTATTGGTTCATCTTCGCTGTCCTATCCTCTGAATTAAACTAAAGTTTTAAAGGGGGAATTCAAAGCCAAGCCTTGTCATTCAAATATTTATCAAGCTTTTACATAGACTCCCTTGAATTAATTGCAATCTGTTTCAGAGACGAACCACCCTTTTAGAAAAAATAAAGCTGTCTTAGCTAAACATACCTTCTTCCCTGTCCAATTTATATTTGTGTCCCCTGGTCAACATTTTCACCATTAAATATGAAAAAAAGGTGATGCATTACAGAGGCATCGGAACCAGCTTCTTTTAGCAGATCCTTATACTTTCAATTTCTCATTGTAAAATCTGTATGTCTAACCAACCACCCCATTTTCCACATCCTTTCTACATCACTGCATCAACACTATCATTTTCCTTAGTACTCTTAAACATTTCAATCAGATCCACTCTAACTCTTCTTTTTTTCATGATAGAACAAGATCACCTGTCCTCATATTATAACATTTCCTTTCCAAGTATCATCCTAGTAGATTAAACACACAGAAGAAAAGAATACAAAATGTATACAAATGATAAAAAAATGTTCAATAACATTAAAACACACGTCTGTAACAAAAGCGTTTTGTATTATAACTTGCAATGTTTCAGGTAGAAGCCCTTCATCAGGCCATATAAACCATATTATATTAGGTCGTCAAGAATTTATTAATGTCACGTTTTGGAACACTTTCATAAACCACCCCCAAAAAATGTACATCACGTATAATAGTTAAACAAACCACCTAAGCATCACGTTGTGTAGCCTATATGATGTGTAAAGTTTAGTATACTCTAATTCCTTATAGTGATGCCACACGACGAGACACACACACATTCGGCATATAATGCTGTCTAAATACAAGAAGAGCAACAAAGAACATCAAAGAAGATTATGGAAATGTTTTGAACATTAGTAAGTGGCAACATTGGTTCAGCAAATTTCTTTCAGGTGACTTTAGCCTTAAAAACTGTGATGGCAGGGACCGACATATTGGAATTGATATTGATGCTATGAAGATAGTTGTTGAGGCTAACCCAAGACAACACACTCGTAAAATGGCCCTAAAATTGCATGTCCCTCATGAAACAATATGTAAACATCTAAGGAATATGG